CCACTTTAAACTTATTTTTTAATCTAAACAAATGTGAGAAAGACATGCTCTTTCTATACTCAATCATTTCTTTGTCTATACTTATATACCCCAAACTTATCTCTTTCCCTCTTCCTGTGTCTCTCATACTGTCACGACCCCCCCCCCCCTCCCTGACACTTATCGTACCCTACCGGAGGATGACAGAGTGCAGAATCACGACCTGAAGTCGCGAACATCACTCAGGTGGGAGTGGCTCAATGTGTGTTAGAAATGCGGAATCAAAGCAAACCACGAAAATTAAATAAAACTCATACATCAAGTACTATAAGCTGAATAAATTAAAACCATTAAATTTTCATTCAAACTCCAATATTCTTTATAATATAGTTCAAGGCTTACAAGCCTGACTTTACAATACATCACCCCAAAACGACACAGTGGCCTTGTCACAAGACACCTACTATGCAGAAAGGGATCTCTGACAGGTCTGAAGCTTCAAATGTCTGCGACCACCACTCTGTTGCTCGACTCCCACAGTCAAGGGCTATCACTCTACATAGATGAAAGTAAGCAAAGTGAGCTATAAGCCCACTAAATAGATCACTACCTTTGTATTCCCACCTACATGCATATACATAGTAACATGATCTATGGTTCATCAGAAATCATACTGGTATCACAGAGTAGAGTCGTGCCTTAGAATATAAACACTAATAGTACAAAAAGAGTAAGGTTCGAATACCAAAGCATCGAATATTTTCTGAGATAGCAATTACATCATTACTTATCATAGTTCTAGTTAGACACTCATACAGAATATCTAATTCAAACAGGCAGAAAACAGAATTGTTTACTCCCAAAGTAGAAGCCACATGGATTAGGCTATGCCAATCCTGTAACTTGGGACTTCTACTCTCATTCAGGAGGGATGGCAATAACAAATGGAGGTCCTATTTCATAATGTCCTCACTCACACACACACACACACACACACACACAATCTCTCAGAGCGCTTTGAGGTTTTCGATAGGCTGTGGCATTACACTACCATTGGAGGGCCCAATGCATAGTATCCAGACAATTTGTGCGACCCTCCTTGTTATTGACAGTCACTCTTCGACTCCACTCCTATCCTTGGAGTCGTAGTACAGTATACCCAACTACCAATGGGGGACCCATTGTGTAGTAGTCATGTCACAGATATCGATTTTCAGTATAGCAGAATCACAAATCCAACTACCAATGGAGGACCCATTGCGTAGTGGTCAGAGCACATATAACAGTCTTAATATAACAAAATCAAAGTAGCCACTACCAATGGAGGACCCATTGAGTATCGGTCATGACACATGTAACAGTATTAATATAATAGAATTAGAGTAGCCACTACCAATGGAAGACCCATTACGTAACAATTAGGGCACATATAACAGTTCGTTATAACATAATCACATATATTAATTAGTGCCACCATATCACAGTATCATATTTTCAGTATCACGGTGTCATATATTTTTCTGTAATTTCAGACAGTGACATCCAGCCATAAACATGGCTATAATGCTCTATCCCTTTGAAATTCAGAAATGGTTCCAAAACCAAATTTTCACTAGACACGTGTATCTTTCAAGTGGGGGTGGTTTGAAAGCGTTTGGATCCCGTTTGGCCCTTCAAAAGCTCATTAAAAAGGAGGCATCCCATCTGAAACCTATTGTGTAGTTGGGACAGTGACATGGCCATTTTGTACCATTATAACTTTCAATCCATAAAACATTTTAAAGTGCTTCTAAAACCAAAATTCGAGTAAAAACATGTATCTTTCAAACAAGGGAGTTTAAGAACATTTAGACTCAATTTGGTCATTCAAAAGTTCGTGATAACCCAAGTAATGGTTCTGGATTTTTATGAAATCTGTCCATAATGACATATATTCTCAAATAATTGTATAATTCTCAATTTAAAAAGAAATTCGGAACGTGTTTCAATATGTTATTTCAATCATACTCATAAATATTTCAAATATAAGTGGTTTAAAAGAAAATGGACTCCATTTGGTCAATCAAAATTAGTGAAAACAGAGACATCAGTTCTGCACTTTTACTAAATTTGTTAACATTGACCTACTTGCACATTTTGAAACATAACTCTTCATGCATAAAGAATTTGAGCAAGATTTAAACATAAATATTTTAGTAGACACATATATCTTTCTAATGATAGAGGTTTGCGATCAATTGGACCTCATTTGATAGGTCAAAAATAGATTACAAAAACATAGAACCTCCCTAAATATTATAACACTGTCACATCATTACTCAACCTGACAATCAATTAGATTCTAACTATGCTACTTCTTAACATAAACCTTTATCATTTTCCATTAGATACACAAAAACATATAATCATAGACTTTCCATAAAAAACAAGGAAGAATTGATACTCATTTTGGTCATGCAAAGGCAAGCTAAATTACTGGAATTTACAGTATAACAATGTGCATATGCATCCATTAATCATGCCACTACTTATGAAAATTATCATGCTTGATTCATGTCCAATCCATGCTTAAGGACCTACAAGGTAGATGATCCACTTACCTTAGGTGCATTGTGTCTCCAAATCTTCTCCCACAGTTTCCTCCTTCAAGCTTTTAACAAGGCTCTTCAATGGTGAACAATAGCTAACAAAAGGGGCTCCAAGTTGAAAGGCTCTAGAGAGAGAGAGGGTGAAATGAATGACATGTGGGAGAGGGAGACGCTTATGTACTTCCCTGGCGGGGAGGTGGCAGTCCAAGTGGTGACAAGTGGCAAACACCACAAATGCAACTGGACAAGTGGCATGTGTGGCGGCATGCACTCAGCAGGTGGCATTCACTGTCTATGCACGGGATTGTTATACACGGCACTGCCATGCACGACGGTGCTTCAAACGGTATTGCCCCTCTCTCTTCTGTTCACACACGGCGTTCCTCCCTTCACGCGCGTGTCATTGCCTCTCTCTATTCTCCAAATGGCGTTGCCCCCTTCCTTTGTTCACGCACGACATTCCTCCCTTCACTCGCGCGGTGTTGCCTCTCTCTCTTCTCCAAACGGTGTTGCCCCCTTCCTCTGTTCAAGCGCGGCGTTCCTCCCTTCATGCGCGCGGCGTTGCCTCTCTCTCTCTTCACCAAACGGCGTTGCCCCCTTCCTCTGTTCACCTGCGACGTTCCTCCCTTCATGAGCGCGGCGTTGCCTCTCTCTCTTCTCCAAACGGTGTTGCCCCCTTCCTCGGTCTTCACTGCCGCATGCTTTATCTACACAATCAGACCCTTCCGCGGGGCATGTTTCCATGGCCAGGAAAACTTGGTCCTTACATACGCTTTCTCTCCTCCGGTATTTTCCAAACATCTCTCTCTTCTCCCGATAACCTCTCACCTCCATGAAATCCAACCCAAGCCTTTCTTTCTCTTCACTTATATACCCCAAATTTCTCTTTTTCTCTCTCTTCCTACGTCTCTCACTCTCTCTAGAAACTTGAAGAGAGAGTAGGAGGAGATAGAGTGAGTGGAGAGAGATGGGAAAGATGGAGAGAGAGGGGGTGAGGAGAGAGAAAATTTTGGGAGGATGACTTTTAAAAAAAGCATGCCTTTTTAGATTTGTTTGACCTAAAAAAATAGGTGTAAATTAGCCTAGGGGGTTAGAAGAAATAAAATTTACAATTTTTATGCCCCAAGATATCTTTTAAAACCTTAAGTCTATTGTGAAAAACTAGGGAGTATGGAGATACTTTCCGTTAAAATTTTTCTTTCTATTAATATTTTAAGACAAAATACAAAAGGGATTGTATAGCATTTACCTTTTGTATAAGGAAATCACAATTATTTATAGAAATTTGATGTAGAATCTGATAGATTGAGTGTCATAAAGTTTAGAAAATTTCCTTTTAGACATTGAGCTTGGTCAATAGAATAAATGCAGCAATTTAATTTCACATCCAATGGTACTAGCTTGTGCCAAAGGTAATTGGTCTCATTATAAACTTTTCCAATATAAAAATATAAAAAGCTCAATTATTCATCTCTTATAGATGTATTAATAAATGGGTGTGGTTTAGCGAGGCTCTAAACAATCAAATTAGAGCCCGCCTTCAAATAATGTTGAAAAATATGGTTGCAATATTGGAAAGTTTTGTGATAGCTTTAAATTATATTTTCAACTTTATTTATAGAATTTAAAGCTTCAAAAATAGTATAGATCGAACAAATCTATGAAAACTTGAAAATTTTGAAAATTGACGATCCAAAAATATATTACAAGATGCACTATTTCCAAAACTTAAAATTTATTTTTTTCTCATGTCCATGCATCTTGATGTTGAGATGATCAATTTGATGATATTTGGGCATCAAAACAATATCTTCTAGTGAAATTTTTGAGGTAGACTCTAATTTGATTGTTTAGAGCCTAGGCTCTATATAAACTTTTCCCTTAATAAATTTCTTGTGATAAATTTGGAAAAATAATTAAAAAATGAGTTTGGTGAACATTGAGCAAAAACAAGACTAATATTTTTAGGGGTGTAAGCTAGCCCGGCCAGCTAATCTAGCCGGTCTTATACATGGTCCGCCCCAATTTGATGTGCCCTACGAAAGGGCTTGAACCTAGCTCATGTAGGGTTGGGCCTTCAAGAACCATTAAGCATGCCTAATTCATTTAATTGATGCTATTCTAGCCGTCCATTTATAATAAAAAAAAAACTATATATTTTGTTAGTAGACTACCCATATACAAAATTTTTGTTTCTTGCATAATGTAATTGAATTCCTAATTGACCATAGAAATAAATAGTAAGAAAACGAAGGCAAGATCTATTTAAATTGAGAGAGAGATACGCGTCAGGTTATATTGAAAGGGATTTCATTCATGTAATCTCTTCACGGGACAAATCTCTCTCTCGTGATCTTTGCGCGGGATAAATCAATCTCTCTCCAATCACTCAAAATTGGCTATATGTTTGTATGCAATTCTGACTGCAAATTATTGTCGAAAAGAGAAGGATTAATTATAATTTTGATTATTCAAGTCATACAGAAAACACTTTCTTCAATAGCCATGTCCTGTACAAAGTCGGTTTTGGCAATCAAATGTGTCTCAAAACATAACTGAAAAATGCATGATACACCCATTATTGCTGAGATATCGGATGGCTATGGAGGCATTACATACGCACAATTCACACTCACAAAATTGTCGGATGACAAAATCCTTATTCAAATCTATCTTCATTCTCCACCCTGACGACCACCAGGAAAAGAGAGCATGCTTCTAGAGAGAGAGAAACAGGTCATATTTAACACCACCTCATAAATAATATTGTACTCCGATTGATAGAGAGAGAGAGCTGAGAGACTGTGCATGAATTAGATGAAGTCTGGCTGGCCTGTAGATGTGAGGCAACGATGCCACATTCTACTGTTTGGATCAACCTGCCTCGGAGACGCAATGACTTCGGGTATTGGAAAGTAAACATAATGAGTGTTACATACGCCCACTGTGATGCCACTGAAACCCGCAAATGCACCATGGACCTAACATATCCATGCGCCAAAAAATGTGAATATCATTGTGCCTATCATGAATAATCTTATGAACTCATCCATGTTTTTGAGAGAGAGAGAGAGAGAGAGAGAGAGAGAGCAATTTAAGACATGAAAAACCAATGTACTCCATGGAAAGTAACTAGGTTCAAGGGAGAGGAGATTGAGAACAAAGAGCTTTAGATAGACAGAAGGGAGTATCAATGTATGATGGAATTGAGATAGCACAAACAAAAAAAATGGGTATGTCAGGTGTTTAACGTGCATTGGAATAGGGCATCTTAATCTGGCATTTCAGCTGTTTATCTAAATATGGTGGTAGGGTTGTCCCCATTCTATCAATGGGTTGGAAGATATTTATATTTTGAGATGTCTACACACTTTCAAAATAGTGACATGTTTTGTGGAATCCACTCTCTAATATCATTGTCCAAACCATTAATGTGATGATGACGAGTCGCTATGGCATAGCATTTCCCGAGTCACATGGCTTTGTGGTACATGTGACCTTTAGTAGGGATATCATAGAGAGAGCCAACCCCAACTAATTGGGAAAAGGCTATGATGATGATGAGGAGAGATATCTTAAAAAGACACATCTAATAAGGATTTGTTAATCGGATAGTTGATTGGAGGAGAAAAGAAACGAGACAGACAATTAGAACTATGAAAAAGTGAGTCTCCCATGCTATGATTCATAACATGAAATAGGAAAGCTTATGTCCTAGTTTTCAATGAGAACTGGAAAAGTAATTCACTCACAGCATTTTGGCCGAGAACAGTGCAGAGGATTGCATCAGATGCATTTGCACGACAAGCTCGGATCATATATGTGGGATCAATATACTTGACATCAGCTGGAACATCGATACTCTTGAAATACTTCTTTATCTGCAAAGACAATGCAAGGGCCACGGTCATCCACCAGGACATTGTATGAAGCTTTCAGTCGTGACTCCAGTCACGAAAAATATTTGCATGATTTGGATTTGGGTGTGTGTGTGTGTGTGTGTGTGAGAGAGAGAGAGAGAGAGAGAGAGAGAGAGCAACAAACTAACCTGTTGTTGAAGGTGCACACCAATATCTCCAAGCACAATGTTCCCTGACGCATCTGTGGCATTCGACTTCTGAAGCAGATCCTGAGCAGTGTCATAAAATTTGATCTCAGTCGAGCTTCAATCAGAAAACCCATTACATAAAGTACAGTACTTAGTGCATCATCCTTAAAATTTTCTTTGATAATTTTACTTATAAAGTCGACTAATGATTTGGCTTCATCTTTTAAAAAAGAGATCTAGAAATCTGATAACAGAGACTAAGTGCCTATCTAGAATGATATGATTATGATTCAAGCCAAAAAACACTTACCTGTCCTGCACCTTCAGCCACACAGACCACAGCATTTCCTTTTATTTGTATCAAATGTTGAAGATGCCTCAATACACCTGATGGCCCCTCTACTTTAAACGGTACCTTCACTTGAAACTTAAAACTATTAGTCCCTTTATACCCAATTACAAGGAAACCACCATAGAAAAATGTCAAGCTATACACACCTCGGGAATTAGACAAACATCAATCTGGCCACTAGATAGTGATGCATGCATCGCAATAAAACCACTGCTCCTTCCCATCAATTTGACTAAGCCAATGCCATGATATGCACTATGAGCCTGAAGAAGTAACAGCAACCAGTACAACTAAAATCAGTTGAATTTTTACAAAAACCAAATGGAAACAAGAAGGAACCAAATAAACAACAAACTAGACAACTGATGCTTGACGATGGGAAAAAAGAAGGCATCGGCAATTTACAATATACTAAACTAAAATATACCTCAATATATGCAGAATTGATTGCTCTCTGAGCTTCCTCTACAGCTGTATCGAAACCAAATGTCTTATCCATTAACAAAATATCATTATCTATGGTTTTTGGAACACCAACCACAGCCACTTTCATCTTCCTTTTACGGCACTGTTACAAGGATATAACATTACATAAGCATTTTTGGAGGCCATAAAACAGAGAGAGAGAGAGAGAGAGAGAGAGAGAGAGAGAGAGAGAGAGAGAGAGAGAGAGAGAGAGAGAGAGAGAGAGAGAG